ATCAGCCAGAAATAGAGAGATAAAGAGAAAGAGAGGAAGAGAAAGAAAGAAAGAATGAAAGACACGGGGACCAAAGCTCTGATGGAGAAACGGTGTTTAAATCAACATGGCATGGGCATATATACTCTTACAAGGTAGTTATTCTCAGCAAAGATAAAGATTAAAATTCCAGACTTACAAAACACAAGGCGATCCCTATTAAAGAGAGAAGAGGGTACTTATCACCATAATGAGAAACTAACAAAGGAAATGCCTGGATTCCTCAGCCGGGGAAGACGTGACTCTCCTCTTAATTCCTGAGTATTCAGGAATTAATAAGGGCCAGAGGATTCCTGACAAAGGGGTGCTAACAGTGGGCTCTTACAGGCTGAGATGAATTGGCTCCAGCATGCCAGGGCTGCCCCTTTAAGATGTTCATCTGAGAGTCAGGGGTGGTTGGCAAACCATAGCCTGTAGGCAGAATCCAGCTCTCTGTCTATTTCAAGTAGTTAGCTAATACAGTCTGGGTCACTGGTTCCCTATGGCTACCTTCCCCTTAAAATAGAGCATGTGGCTGTTCAGTCTGCAAAGCCTAGACTATTTACTCTCTAGCCCTTTACAGAAAGTTTGTGGACTCCTTCTCTAGAAGGCAAGAGGCCATAGACTGTTTGCAGCCTCCAGATATTGACAGCTCCCTGAGTCATTTTAGAATTTTCTATTTTCCATCAGAGAGCTGCAATGCATAATGGTCTCCATCTCACTCACCAAAGCCTGCATTGCTTTTTACTGCAAAAGTAACATTACTTTTGTTTGCTTGTTTGACTTAGCTCTGCTTCTCTTTGCATTTTTCAGGAGGAAAATACATTCTAAATTCCACCTAAGCAAGGGACCCAGACACTGCCTGCCACTTCCCCACAGCCCTGTTGCAGAAGATGCTTTGTCAGACAAAGCAGCTCTGTGCAGGGACTCAGGGCAGGATCAGAGGCCAGTTGACCAACAGCAGGAACAGACTCTTTGCAGAATGTGCAAAGGGGACTGCTTGGCTGACTCTCAGGATCTTGCTGATTTCTGGGCTGTGATGTAGACTTCATAATGCACTGGATGACTATTGCATCTGCCTAATGCTGGGATGAGGACTGAATGGGAATTATGCTCATTTCACAGAGGAAGAAACATACTCAGAGACAAGTAGCTTGACCAGTCACCCAGATTGTAAATGGCAGACTTTCAGGTGTTTCAACTTCTAGTACAGAACTGTTCATGCATGCGTGCTCAGCTCACTCAGTCATGTCCCACTCTTTGGAACCCCATGTCCTGCAGTCCACCAGACTTCTCTGTCCATGGGACTCTCCAGGCAAGAATACTGGAGTGGGTTGCAGTTTTTCACTCCAGGGGATCTTCCTGATCAGGGATTGAACCCACTTCTCTTGCTTCTCCTGCATTGCCAGGAAGATTCTTTACCACTGAGCCACCTGGAAAGCTCAAATACCTTTGCGCTGTCCCTGGGGCTTAAAACGCTCCTGTGCTTAAGAATCTCCTGGAAACCTTCTGATGAACCTTGAAGATATATGCTAAGTGAACTACATCAGAGAGACAAAGAAAAGTGATACAACTTACATGCCGATTTTAAAAAAGTCAAACTCCGAGAACCAGAGAAGACAGTGGTGGTTACCAGGGGCTGGTGGGGTGGGGAAAATGGGGAGATACTGGTCAAAGGATAACAACTTCCATTTATAAGATTAACACATCCTGGGGATCTAATGTATGTCATGGTGGTTATAGTTAATAGTATTGTATTATATACTTGACTTGAATAAAAGGGATTCCTTGGTGGCTCAGATGATAAAGAATCTGCTTGCAATGCAGGAGACTTGAGCTCAGTCCCTGTCAGGAAGATCCCCTGGAGAAGGGCATGGCTACCCATTCCAGTATTCTTGCCTGGAGAATACCATGGACAGAGCAGCCTAGTGGGCTGTAGTCCATGGGTTCACAAAGAGTTGGATGTGACTGAAAGACTAACATTTTCTATATACTTGATGGTTGCTATAAGTAGATCTTAAATCTCACCACCAAAAAAAAGAAAGATAATTATGTGATGAGGTAGAAAAGTTAGCTAAGGCAATGGTGGCAATCATATTGCAACATATAGAAATGTATCAAATCAACACTTTATACACTTTAAAGTTACACAATGTTATATGTCAATTAGTTCCATAAAGCTGGAAAAAACATATAGATTCTCAGTGTTGCTCACCCTCAGATTCTTCTGATCTAGGTATTCTGGGATGTAGCCTTGGGACATTACTGCGTTTTTGTTTTAAATTTCAAATTTTATACAATTTTTAAAGGTTGCTTTCCACTTACAGTTATTACAAAATGTTGACTCTATCCCCATGTTGTGCAATACAATCTCGAGCCTGTCTTACACTCAGTAGTTTGTACCTCCCGCACCCCCATCCCTAAATCACCCTTCCCCCTTCCAGTGGTAACCACCAGTTTGTTTCCTGTATCTGTGAGTCTGCTTTTTTAAATCAAACTGCACTTTCTTTCATTTGGCTGTGTTGGGTCTTAGTTGCGGCATGCAGGATCTTCATTGCAGCAAGGGATCTTTTGTTGTGGTGTGAAAACTCTCTAGTTCTGCAACTCAGGCTCAGTAGTTGCAGCTTGCAGGCTTAGTTGCCCTATGACATGTGGGATCTTATTTCCTCAACCAGGGCTCAAACCCACTTCCCCTGCCTTGGAAGGTGGATTCTTAACCACTAGACCACCAGTTAAGTCCCATTATCTGACTGTCTTTAAAAAAAAAAAGCCCTAGGGTTTTTTGATTCAGGCATTTCTTTCTGGTCTACACTTTGAAAAACACTGCCTCCTCCCCATACATTTCATTAGAAAATGATAATTGCCTTTCTAGCTGAAAGCTATTTCTGACTGATTGGGTACCAGCCACCAACAGTACAGGGCTTAAACCTGTACTGCTAGGAAGGTACTGCTCCAGGTGACATGAGCCTGAACCAGAGAATGGATTCTCTGATCGTTGCCTGATCCATCTGGTGACAGTCCCCTGTCCCCAGCCAGGAGGCACCCAGCAGAACATAGCTCTGAGAGGGGCTTCTTCACCCAGAGCTTGGACTCTGTGGGCTGGGCTGGTGAGCCCTCTGCCAGCTGATTCATTAATTACAACAATGTTTGTGCTGGGCTCTGAGTGAGGTGCTGAGGATGGAATGTTAAGCAGACTCACAGGCAGACCCTGCGCTCAAGGTGCTTGTGATCTGATGGGGAGACAGACCATCAAATAAGGCCAACACAATTGTAAGTGGAGAAGTAGTGCCCAGTGTAGGATGAGGGTGTGTAACCCAGTCAGGAAAGCAGAAGGATTTCCCTGGGCAAGAGACCCCTGAGTGAGATTAGAAGGAAGAGTGGGTGTTAGCCAGGCTGGAGGTGGGAGAGCTTCCTGCCATCTTTGAGGGGTCCTGATGTGCTCAGCTGCTCAGCTGTGTCTGACTCTTTGCGACCCCATGGACTATAGCCCACCAGGCTCCTCTGTCCATGGAATTTTCCCAGGCAAGAATACTGGAGTGGGTTGCCATTTCCTTCTCCGGGGAAGAGTTTCCTTTACTGCTATTGAAAAAGGCAAAGATGGGGAAAAGGGAGAGATGTGAATGGCATTGAGCCAGCTGCATCTCCACAGCTGGCAGGGATGTTTTATGGAACGTTCCCCATCTACATGATACAGGGTGCAAAGAGGACAGTGCTTAGGAGGCAGAGGGGGCCTCTGTCACTCATTCTTCTTCCATCCTATCTCCTGACCTGTGCAAAACTCACTTTCTCACTTGGCAGGTGAACTAAGTGTGGCTGGAAGGAAAATGAATGAATACAGGCCATGGGCACATCCATGGAGTGAGACAACCAGTGCTTTTCTCAGAAATTTGGGAAGAGAACTACTTTCTGCTTTGTTACATAGCCCCAAAGCAGAATCTGGTCTCTGATCCAGTTTCTAAAGTGGTGGCCACAACCCATGTATTACCCAAGGCTGCATAAGAGCCAGAAGGGCAGGCACATTTCAAAATATTGCTGTGTGCTAGCCTTGGTCAGCAGACTCCTTCGTGGGAAAGTTAAACTCAGACCAGTGCCCACCAGATGGTAAACAAAGATGGAAAAAAAACCCTGCTTGGCTAAGGGAAGGGACTAAGGGAAGCTGGCTTCTGTCTACTACCTGCTCTGGATTCATCGTCAATGGCTCCTCCCACTGGTTCACACCCACCGCTTTGCTCTCCTGCACTGAGCACCCACAAACAATGCCTTACTATACACCTTGGCATCGAACCCCACTAAACCTCTTCTGTTGGCAGCTGGATCAGTTTCCCTAGATTTCATTCACCCTCTACACACATCAATGATTTTAGAGCTTGCGTAGTCCAGGCTCCCCTCTTGGAGGAGATAATCATTATGGCCTGGCTACCTCTTGAGAAACAGAAGGAGCTGGGCGAGGTTGCATGTGTTTAGGAAAGCCACAACCCCACAGACACTGAAATCATCAATCCCTAGAAATTTATTTAAGCCTTTATAATTAACCACACCCTATTTTTATAGCCCAAACTCCATACACATGAAAGGGACAAATGACAGTGAAAGCCAAGCCCATGATGAAGTCGAGATATTACAAGGAGATATCTTTTCTTATTTGCTCCTCCTCTCTTTGGCTGTAGTTTTTATTTTCATTACTCCAGGAGGCGGGTCATAACAGATCTTGCTGTGATTTATGTCCAAGATCGTTCTGCCTATGTTTTCCTCAAAGAGTTTTATTGTGTCTGACCTTATATTTAGATTTTAATTCCATTTTGAGTTTATTTTGGTGTATGGTGTTAGGGAGTGTTCTACTTTCATTGTTTTTATGTGTAGCTGTCCAGTTTTCCCAGCACCGCTTATTGAAGACTCTCTTCAATATTCAGTATTCTTGCCTCCTTTGACTATTCAAGAGGAAATGGCACCTATTTACTCAGAGTTGGCTATATCAAAGGAAGTCAGACACTGTCAATAGCTTTTGGCAGAGACTCAGGGCAGGCAGAAAGGGAGGGCTCGGGGTATGCTTTGATTGGACTTGTTGCCATGGAGAAGCTGGGGGAGGGGCCTCTACGTGATTGGTTTGGACAACATAGCTGCCTTTTCCTAATTGGTCCTGAGTTGGAAGTAGGTGCCAAAATAGAGAAGCTGGCAGTCTTTGACTCTTCCTTGACTTTTCCCCGATGGCTCAGTGGGTAAAGAATCCACCTGTAACGCAGGAGACTTAGGAGACCTGGGCTTGATCTCTGGGTGGGAAAGACCCCCTGCAGGAGGAAATGGCAACCCTTTCCAGTATTCTTGTCTGACAAATCCCATGGACGGAGGAGCCTGGCGCGCTACAGTTCATGAGGTCGCGAAGAACCAGACACGACTGAGCACAGTGGGCTGGGCTTGGCTTTCTGGGACAATTGCTATTAGAAGTTGAGGGTTGTGACTGTTGTCAAGCTGACCACTGTCAGTTGTATATTCAATCTTGCACTGTGTCGAGTTCCATTTTAGTCTCTTGAAATTGAAAATGAATGTTTTTTTCATGCCCTAGTTCTTTGGTCATTCCTATAGGTTGTCCAGGTTTGTTGGAGGTGTAGATAAAATATCCTGGGTTTGCAGCTGACTCCAGAGTGAAATAGGAACCCACCTGTTCCTTGATGAAAGTGAACGGCAGACAATCCTTAGCCTTCAGTGAACTCAGTTCTTTGATGTGCTTTTTCTGAAACACAGAGCGGAGTTTGTTAGGTGGCCAGGCTACCTTGGGAAGAAAGAAAGGAGAGATCAAGGCAGTTGTTTTCAAATTTCAGGCTTTCAGTCTTATCATTTAGGCTTTGCACGTTCCTGGGTGGCAGGACAGGGGTCATTTTGTTCCTAGGTCTCCTACCTTTAGTTGCAAAGAAGGGGGCTTTGGCCCTTTGGCTTTTTCACAGTAGAGACAGAACTCGCCTTTCGAGACAGCCAAAAAAATATGATTCTTTCCCTCGTTCGTAGGTTTCACAACTCTTCTGTGTGAAACTGATATATAAAAAGTCTCTGAAATTATGGACAAGGGTGGGGAAGAGGAAGGAGAGGATGAGATGAATGGAGAGAGTAACATGGAAGCATATACACTAACACATGTAAAACAGATATCCCGTGGGAATTTGCTGTGTGACTCAGGAAACTCAAACTGGGACTCTAACAACTTAGAGGGCTGGGAATGTGTGGGGAAGGTGGCGGGGAGGTTTAAGAAGGAGGAGATATACGTACATCTATGGTTGATTCATGCTGATATATGACAGAAATCAAACCAATATTGTAAAGCAATCATCAATCAATTAAAAATAAATAAATATAGTAATAATAAAGTCTTTGGAAAAAGCCAGAAACTGTATCAGCCCAAGAGGAGGAAAATGATCTTTTTTTTTTCCTGTTGATATTTTGGGTTTAACTGCCATGTTTCTCTGTGCAGTGTCATCAAATTCTCAGGCCTGGGTTGTTCCAGGACCCAAGAATGTCCCTCTTCTTGGAATTTCCCACTCCCTGTCCCTCTGGCTCCTCTTCCTCCCAGCCCTCCCAGGGAGACTTCTTTGAAGTCAGGGGGTCTCTGGGCCCACATTCCCATCCTCGCTGCCAACCGCCATCAGTTGCCCTGTGCTCTTTCCAGGAGGTAGCCCTTTGCCAGTCCTAGGGGCGGGAGTGGCTGAGCTGCCCCAGCGGGGAGGGCCTCCCTACAGGCAAAGTGGGCAGTGAGAGAATGAGAACCACTTCTGCTGAGTAAAGCAAGGCTGAGAGTCACCTCGGGCTGTGACGTCTTTGTCTGGGACTGCCTTGAGGACCCCGCCTTCCAAAACCAGAACTTGCTGGTTCCTGTCTCGAATATTACACTTCTTAAAGGTTACAGATTTGACTCTTGGACCTGAAAAATAGTACCAGAGATTAGAAACCATTAACAAGGCCTCAGGTCCCCACCTTTCTCAGTGGACTTAGGTGAGATGTATACCTCTCATTAGTTTTTTATCCTAACTCATCCATCCATTCATCGATGAACTTCAGTTATTAACACCTACACCCTGAAGTCAGACTGAGTCGGGGGTCCAATCCTTGTTCAATCATTTACAAGCTGATGTGTGCGTGTGTGCTCAGTCATGTCCGAGTCTTTACGACCCCATGGACTACAGCCTACCAATCTCCTTTGTCCATGGAATTTCCCAGGCAAGAATTCTGGAGTGGGTTGCCACTTCCTTCTCCATGTTTACAAGATGAACAAGTTACTAAATCTCATTCGGCCCACCAGTAACATGAGGCTACTAAAGGCTACTTTACATGGGGTTGGTGTGGGGAATAGGAGGGGTTCAAGGAAAGTTCATTATTATTATTAGTGGTGGTATGGGTAACATTCATTGAAAAGTCATCATTGTTATAAGTAATAGTTGTATTTATACATCCAAATGAAAGGAAAGTAGTACATCATAAAAAAGTAATATATCCATGACAGTACTAAAGATATATCACCATCATTACTAGTGATAGTATTGATAACCCTCTTTTCTGCATCATCTCCCTGGTGGGCCCCTGCTATCAGTAAGGCTGGGGTGGCACAGATATCTGCCATGTTGGGCACCAGTGGGGCCAATGGTGAGGAGGGTGAAAGGCTAAAAATAATGAGGTGAAGCAGGAAGGCCCCAAGAACAGCAGCTTTGGATTGAGAAGAACTGGACATCCAAGAGTTTGGAGCAAAGTTCAGAGGGACTGTGTCTACCCTTGTGGAGCCTGAGTGGGTGGGGCCAGCTGCAACATTGGCCAGGGATTTGCCTGAGCCTGTTGGGGGCGGATTGGGGAGGGGTGGAATTGGAGTGTTCAGTCAACGCAGCCCTGCTTAGAAGAGAGGGGCAATCCTAGACTGGGAACTTGTCCCTGTGTCACTTGTGATAAGGCCAGTGACCATCCATCAGATGGTCAGGTGCTGGGGCTTCCCTGGTGGTCCAGTGCTTAAGAGTCTGCTTTGCAGTGCAGGAGATGTGGGTTCGATCCCTGGCCCAGGAAGATCTCATATGCTGTGGAGCAACTAAACCCATGAGCCACAACTACTGAGCCTGTACTCTAGAACCCCTGAGTCACAACTGCTGAAGCCCGAGTGCTCTAGGGCCCCTATTCTGCAACGAGAAGCCACTGCAGTGAGAAGTCAGCGCATGTGAGATCTAGTTCCCTGCAACTAGAGATTTGCCCCTGCTCCCAACAACTAGAGAAAGCCTGTGTGCAGCAGTGAAGACCCAGAGCAGCAAAAGTAATTGAATAAAATTATAAAGAAAGATGGTCAGGTGTTGCAGCCCATACATAGAATTGATGATAGAGTCTATCTAGAACAACAGATATAAAATATGATAATTGATAGATGACCCTTGTAGATTAGAAATTGTACTATATAATTATACACAGACATAACATAGTCTGGATTCCTACTCACTATAAACATAATGCTTTCAGCCGGGAGCCGTGGTATGCGCCCTCCTCCTGTTGCCTATGGCCCACCTCCTCCCTGTCTTGTCATCTTAACTCACATGCCACCTCCTCCTCCTGAAGCTCTGTGCCAATCCCTTAGGGAGAGAGACATTTTCTACTTGGATCTGCCCCAGCCATCAGTGTTTGGGGAAGGACAGCAGGATGGCAAGACCTCATACTGTGGGTATTGCATGCTTGTGTGGCGTTAATTTCTAACTCATTCTATATTTTTCACAGGCTCAGGGTGGGCTTTCAGTAATTAGCCCTGGGTCAGAGTTCACTGAGGTGGCCTCTCTGGGTCTGGAGGAAGTTATCAGTGTGCTTCAGAGGGCTCTTCTTCTTAAAAAAATTTTATTATTATTATTATTAATTTTTTAATTAAAAAAATATTTGGCTGCCTTGGGTCTTAGTTGTGGCACATGAGATCTTTGTTGGGTCATGCGGGATCTTTCATTGCAGCGCTTGGGCTCTTTGGCTGTGATGCATGGGCTTAATTGTTCCCCAGCATGTGAGATCTTAGTTCCCTGACCAGGGATTGAACTTGTGTCCCCTGCATTGCAAGGCAGAGTCTTAACTACTGGACCACCAGGGAAGTCCCCCAAGGGCTCTTCTGACCCCAGCCATATGTGACTTTTGTTGGGGAATAAAACAATGAAGGTCGAAACTAACTGAAGATGTATCTACTTGTATCCCCAAGTTCAAGTTGTCTTTTTTGGGGGAAAAATAGATTGACACAAAAAAATGGAATAAAAAGTACTGGAATATTGTTAAAAATCAATGGTTCAACACTTCCTGGTACCTATGAGGTCTAAGAGAAGTATACTACTGACCTTTTACAAAACTTGCATCAGGGCTGCACTACATGGTTGGCACACATTGAGAGGAAATCATCTTGAGTTTGGTACCACTAAGATAGGACAGCCCAAATGAGGGAACCTTCTTCTGCATTATAAGGGCATGGTCATTCAGGGAGGTGGACAAAGTTTTCATCACTTGGCTTTTTCAGCCTGCATTCCTGCCATTCCTCCACTGTGGCTTCATGCCTCAAGCTCCTTCTCTTCCATATGCTCCTCTATGCCTTTGTTTATGCTGTTCCTTCTGCCTGGGATTACTTTCTACCTTTATTCGCAGTGTAACTCCAACTTCTTCTTTGAGATTCAGTGCAGGCATCACCTCCTCTGAGATATATAACACAATTCAACCCCCTCAACATAAACTGGTTTTCTGTGTTCCTGAAGCAACCTGTGCTGCCTTCTACTGCAGTTTCTTCTATTTTTTGTGTATCAAAATTGTTGTTAGGAGCCTGTTGCCCCCACTTGCTCCCCCACTGGCCTGCAACTGCTGAAAGTTGAATGAACGTCATCCTGTGCTCATTTGCATAAGTACTAAGGGAGCATTCACAGGACCTTCCTTGCCTGGCCACGCTGCAGTCTTGGAACAGCAACTTCTACACCCACAATCAATGGCCAGAGGTCTTACACCAGGGCCTGGGTCCCAGGGGCAGGTTGGGAGATCTTGAAACAAGGGCACTCAGCAGAGAATGGCAATCAGTGGGTTTCTGGTGGGAGGACCTTCCAATGTATCACTTGCCCTAGTCTCTGAGGGACATCAGGGCCAGAGGAATTGGGGCCAGTGCAGGACAGGAGTCTAACGTTCAATGCCAACCAAACCATCATTGACACCAGCAAAACTGGGAGTGGCAATCACTGGCTGGGCTAGCAGTGAATGTTCATCTTTTCTTTCTGTCATTGGGTTTTCATAGCACTTTATAGACAAGGAAGTGTGGGACCCGTGCAAACATTCTGGAACTCAAACTGAGGTCTTCCCATTGTGTGTGATGGAAAGAACCATGGACTTACAGGGAGGCAGACCTGCTAATCATCCTGTCTCTGCTACTTGTCACTACATGCCTTAGATGAGTTACTCACACTTCTGATGGTCTATGTCGGGACCAGCCCCAAAACGAACCGACCCAAGGGAGTGGTGTTGCAGAAGAATAAAGAAGAAGACTCAGAAATAAAGTGGGGCTCAGAGGGCTGATGCCATTCACAGGCAAAAGCCCAGATCCTAATCCTTGCATGCCTTTTATTGTTAATTTCTACTTCCTTATTCCTGCTCTAGAGATATCTGTTCTTTACAATCTCAGATCCGGGATAAAGAAATACAATGCACAGTCCTCAGTGTCAAACCTTCAGGCCTTTCATGACTTTGTTTAGCCTTTTGGCTAGTGACGCCCTTCCTTAGCAACTGTCTCAAGGCTCTGGTTACGGGAACAGTCAATAATGGTTTTCCATTAGTCACATCAGTACTTAAAACATCTTGTTTTCAAGATGTCTTTCCACTATGTACTTTTTACTGCTCCCAGCCCTTCGCCTGGGTGTGATGAGAAAGTCATTCTTATTTTTCCAAGAATCCCTGTTAATTATAGTACAGGCTTGTGCATAGCATATTCCCTACACTGTCTTTGTCAAAAAGGTGGAAATATAACACTTTCCCAGTAAAGTTGGGCTTCCCAGGTGGCACAGTTGGTAAAGAATCCGCCTGCCAATGCAGGAGACTCAGGAGATGTGAGTTCTATTCCTGGGTCAGAAAGATCCCCTGGAGTAGGAAATGACAATCCACTATAGTATTTTTGATTGGAAGATTCCATGGACAGAGGAGCCTGGCGGGCCACAGTCCATGGGGTGGCAAATAGTCAGACATGACTGAGCACCCACACAGTAAAGTTGACTTGGGAAACAAACATTCTCTTATGGAAAGAGTTCAGCATGGAATTTGGTATATGTTTATCAAGAAATGTGAATTTCTTGTCCTTCACCAGCTCCAGGTCCTGTATCAACTTCCTGGGTTTATTCTTCCCCCAAAGGCTAATTCTTTCAAAGCAGAAATTGCAAAGGCTGGGTGCCAATTCCAACCACTCACCCCCAGTTTTAGATGCCCCCAGGAGAAAGTTCCCTGCTTCTTAAGGGAGGTTTAGCTACCCACCACCCTCCCCTCCCATCCCACAACCCCTTGGAAAGTCACCAGAGTGGGTGGAAGCCACAGAAGAAAGGCTGGAGTCTGATGCCAGGGCGCCTTGTGCTGATGACAAGAGACAAAGACAAAAAGTTAGCAAATGCAATGCCATTAGCCTAAGGTGTAAGTTCTTTGGCTTAGAGGTGACTTAATTCTTAACTTTGGCAGTTGCTAAAGGGCAATCTGTAAAACTCTCACACAGAAACATATTAATGCTCTTAAGATGGTTCTGTGTCCAATAATTTGAGGAGATTCTGAATTAAGTACTGTTAAGCTTGATTCCGTGACTGAACTGAACTGAACTGAAGTGAAGCTTGATTCCTTAAAGTGGGACTTCTCAGAGCCATTGTTCCCCCCAGAATATTTGGTGAGGAATCACAAGAGTTTTGCCAATGGTGATCTAGCTAGACCTCCTCCAGTCCAAAAAAAGGGGTCCCTTTTCTGATTTTTGGGTAGGAGGGCTAAGTAAGACTTTCAACAAGATGGATCTCACTCCTGGTTATTCCTTTGAGATTTTTAAATTTTATTTTATTTATTTATTTAACTGTGCCAGGCCTTATAGTTACAGCATGTGGGATCCAGTTCCCTGAGCAGGGATCCAACCTAGGCCTCTCTCTTTGGGAGTACAGAGTCTTAGCTACTGGACCACCAGGAAGTCTTGTGGTTTTGCCTTTTGTGGTCTAGGGAGTTTAGTACCTGCTAACCATTTGCTTGGAAAAGTGGTGCTTTGAAGTTTTGTTCTGTTTTTTAAATCAGAGTGTATGTATGAAAATTGTGTCTACTCAGGATAGGACTGGGGTCCTGAATCCTAATATGTCCCTTTCCAAAACTTTTCATAACTGTCGCTATCTACCTAATGTGTTTGGGCTTCCCAGGTGGCTCAGTAGTAGAGAATCCACCGGCAATGCAGGAGACCCAGGTTCAGTTCCTGGGTGGGGAAGATCCTCTGGAGAAGGAAATGGTAACCCACTCCTGTATTCTTGCCTGGAGAATCCCATGGACAGAGGAGCCTGGCAGGCCATAGTCAATAAGGTTGCAAAGAGTTGGACATGACTTAGAGACTAAAAAACAACAATTTAATGTGCTAGGGAAATTCCTGGAGCTCAGTTCTTTGGCAAATTGGACAGAGGAAGAACCATTTCTATAGACAGCATTGAACACATTTCCTGTTTGGGAATTACTTTTTGATGCTCATGATGAATTTGTAGAGGTTGCTTACCTTCCAGGTCTGGCAAGGATTCAGACTCATCTTCATGGAACTCATGGTCAGTTTTCATGTCTGAGCTGCCCTCTGAAGAAGACATCACCAAGGGGGAGCATTAACGTGATGGGAGAGGTGAAGGGAGCTCTTGATCTACAGAGATCAGGGGACGCTGGTTATGAAATCTCCCTAGTCTAGAAAATCTCACCTAGTGCCCTAATGCCTACTTGCAGGACCTTGCCTCGTCTCTACTTGGGGATGTTGCTTTAATGTCGAAGTACAAAATCATTTCAATTCATAATGAAATTCTGTTTAGAGTTAGTCCACTGAGGTAATTCAGTGGTTTGCCTATCAAATGACTATTTTTGGCTACTTTCTGTGTTTTATTTCCCATGTGGAAGAATCCCCAGGAATCACCCGGAAGGAGTCTTGCTAAAATGAAGATTCTGATACAGCAGGTCTGGCGAGTTCATAGGAGATGCTGCTGGTTCCCAGACTGAGTGTGTGTGTGTGTGTGTGTGTCCATGTGTGTGTGTTAGTCATTTAGTCGTGTCCAACTCTTTGCAACCCTATGGACTGTGTATGGAATTCTCCAGGCAAGAATACTGGAGTGGGTTGCCATTTCCTTCTCCAGGGGATCTTCCTGACGCAGGGATTGAACTCAAGTCTCCTGCATTGCAGGCAGACACTTTACCCTCTGAGCCACCAGGGAAGCCACTGTCAGGCATATATTGGGTTTCCCCAAAAGTATTTTTGGGTTTTCAGTAACAGCTTATGGAAAACCTGAATGAAATTTTGAGCCAACCAAATACATACATACACACACACATGCACATGTGTGTGTACGCGCGCGCACACACACACACACACACATATATATATATACTTGTCTTAGAGATTCTTACAGAAATCCCCTAGACACCAAGGAATTCAGTGTTTGAGTTGAGAAGTTTGGGGACCACTGGTTTAGAAGGTAGAGGTCATGTTAATCAGGCAGCATACTCCCTTGGGACTAGTCAGTCCCTATGACAGTGCATAGGAGAAGGAAATGGCAACCCACTCCACTGTTCTTGCCTGGAGAATCCCAGGGACAGAGGAGCCTGATGGGCTGCCATCTACGGGGTTGCACAGACTCGGACACGACTGAGGCGACTTAGCAGCAGCATGAAAGTGCATTTAGGCGTGGAAACAAAACTGTTAAAATGGGGTTGGGTTGTGCTGGGAGACAAAGAGGACTGGATTGATCCACCCAATAAGGAAAAAAAGTCTGATACTTCCATAAGCACCTGAGAAGGGCAAGGCAAGGGCCCTGGAAATTGAGGGAGGCCAAGGAGTATGAAAGGAGAAAGAGAGGACTGGGAGTTGGGGCTGGAGGAGATGGTACGTGAGAAGTTTCTGATGAAGGTATCACTGATGTGTGTCTCACCAGGAAGGGTACAGGTTGTTTGCTATATGCTGTCATCCCCCATGTGTGCGATGACCCCTTGCTACTCTGGGTGTGGTATGGGGATCTGTAGTATCAGTAACACTTGAGAGCTTATTAGACAGAAATAGAGAACATGGGGCCCCATCTCAACCCCAGAAACAGAGTCTGCATACTAACAAGATATCCAGATCATTCCCATACACACTGGTGTTTGAGAAGCACTGTGCTAGCTGAGTTTCTCACTACTGCTAACCACAGAAATACTCAGAGGAGTTAATAAAAATATGGAGGCCTGGATCTCACCCTCAGAAATTCCTATTTGAGGGACTTCCATGGTGGTCCAGTAGTTAAGAATTTGCTATCTAATGCAGGGGACACGGGTTCCATCCTTGGCTCAGGAACAACCCACATGCTGTTGGACAACAAAGTCTGTGTGCCACAAATAGTGAGCCCGCCTGCGTCCTGATCCCCTACTCTGCAACAACAGAAGCCACTGCAATGAGAAGCCACAGTACTACTGCTAGAGAATAGCCTCCAACTGCTACAACTAGAGAAAGCCTGGGCATAGCAATGAAGACCTAGGGCAGCCAAAAATAACTAAATAAAAAAGAAATTCCTATTTGATTGATCTAGGACATTGACTCAGCATCCGGATATTTAAAAGTCTTACAGGTGTTTCTAAAGCCAAGTAAGAACTACAGGGATGGTACTGTTCAGTACCGCTTTTTGTTTTGTTTTGTTTTTGGAGGAAATCAAAGTTCTGGGTCAGTTTGGGACCAACACAAGGACCAGCTGAAATATGTAAGCCAAGAGAGAGATCAGAGGGCATAAGAAATCCCTGATGACAAAGAGGTACCCTGAGGTCTTAGGAAATAGGGTAAGAGAAATTGGGTTTCCACCGTATGTTGGATAGGTGATTAAGTCAATTCCTACCTAAACATTGCAAAAAAGATGATTCCAATAGCCTGGAGAACTTGGAGATGTCTAGGTAACTGATATCCAGTTATGGACAAAATAGGCTCACAAGGCTAATGAAATTCACAACAGAATTTTAGGTGATATTTACTTGGGTGGTATCTACAGATCCATCTAAAAAAGTCACATTCAGCCATCTGGCATCTGTCTCCATCAAGCAGAGTGCTCAAAACAGTGAGTCCGAAAGCACTCTTCCAAGACAAATTCTCTATATGCCTTCAAAATTAGTCCCTCCAGCCCCTGGAATAGAGGGGTTTGTGACATCAGTGGTACTCTACCATGACACACTAAGATAGATATGATCTCAAGCTTCATATTCACCCTCTTCCATTGTTGTTGTATCGCTAACAACCCATTGATATCTAGGGCTTCCTGGGAGAAAATGCCTGTTCTTGTTCTTAGGAGCAAGTTGCTCAAGGTGGTCTTAGGGATAAAATTCCGAATAGCTAGAAAAGCATAAACATAGCTTAAAAAAAAATTCAGCCAAGCCAATGAGTGCTAGTCCACCTTTTCATCTATACAGGTCCATAGCTAAGGAAAACAATTTAGATGTAACTTGATCCAGAAGACTGTGAAGGGACAAAGTCATTGGGACCCACAGCTCAGAGGATGATTTCTAGAAACCAGGGATGAGGACCACATACCTGGGCCAGGGAGATCCGTGTCTGAGGCTCTGAGTGGATATCATCGTGCTAGTATGTCTTATATGCTACAAGGACTGCGGCTCATTTGGATAATGGATGGGAGTGGGTAGATGTGAAATTATGATAACAAAAATTAGTTAACAACTCACTGGTGGGGCAGGTTAAAGATGACTGTGGAGTCTTTAATATTCCTCTCCTTGAGATGAGTGATTCATGTATCCTGTCTTTGACTCTGGTGGGCTCTGTGATTGCTCAGCCAATAGAAGGTGGTGGAATTGTGTCTGTTTCGAGCCTCTTCCACGTCTTAGGGACTGGTGGCTTTTGCTTCCTGTCTCTTGGGATATTTGTTCTTGCAACACATTCATTATTCTGTGACAAAACCCAAGTAGCCCCACTTTTGGAAAGAAATTAAGGCTCCACTGAGACCCCTGCTGAGCTCCTAGCTGACACTCAGCACCAATATGAGAGCAAAAGCGGCGGGGGGGGGGGGGGGGCCCTCCTGGGAAAGCATCCTCCAGGCCCAGTTGAGTCACATGAAACAGAGTCACTATCTCAGCTGAGCCCTGCCCATAATGCAGAACTGTGAGTAAAATAAGCCAAAAAATGAAACTTTCCAGTTGGTCCAGTAGCTAAGACTCTGCACTTCCACTGCAGGGGGCACAGGCTTGATCCCTGAGGGGACTGAGATTCCACATGTCATGCTGCATGGCCAAAAAAAAAAGAAAAAAGAAAAAGCCACAAAGTTTTGGGGTGGTTGGTTATGGCAGGAATAGATAATTAGAAGAAATTTTGGTATCAGGAGTGAGGTGCTCCAGTAACTAAAGTTTAAAACATGTGACTCCAGCTTTGTGTTTGAGAGGCTGGTAGAAGCTGGAAGGCTTTGCAGAGACTACTCAAAAGGCTTGAAGGGCAGCAGGGAAGATGCAACTGAAAACTGAAGAAAAGAATGGTGTGTGTTATGTCACAGAGGGAGCAAGTTCAGCAAAACTGATGCCTGAAGCAACGTGGGAAATTGAATCTCAGAAGGATTGAAGGGTGTGCCTGGGAGGTCCTTTAAAAAACTTGAAGGTCTTGTCCCACAGAAACCTCACAGGTGATGCAAGGTAGATGGGCTGTCTGCAAAGGAAATGTAGGTGTGTCTTTTTGTCTAGTGGAATTGATTATCAACTGAGAATGCAAGATTTTTTTTGAACTTCTAGTTATTGAATTTATTTACTCATTAGTGAAAAATTTAATTAATTTATAATCTATAGTTTGATTCCAAGTTAGTTAAAAGGAAGATCATCAGAAATATATTATGATTATCTTGTTGTTGTTTAGTTGCTAAGTTTGGTCTGACTCTTTGCAACCCCATGGACTGTAGCCTGCCAGCCTCAGGCTACATACATATTTTTGTTGTTGGGTTGCTAAGTTGAGTCTGACTCTTTGCAACCACATGGACTGTAGCCCGCCAAGCTCCTTTGTCCATGGGATTTCCCAGGCAAAAATACTGGAGTGGGTTGTCATTTCCTTCTTCAGGGGATCTTTCTGATCTAGGGATCGAACCCATGTCTCCTGTTTGGCAGACAGATTCTTTACCACTGAGACACCTGGGAAGCCATATATGTACATATGCAGAATGGTGGCTGTGCGGCTCTGGAGAGGCAAGCAGCCAAGAGGAGATACCCCACATTTAAGGTCAGAAAAACCCCAGTAAGATGGTAGTCACTGAAGGGGCTGTGAGGAGATACCCCAAGTTCAAGGGGAAAGGAGAAGCCCCAGCAAGATTGTAGGAGGGGCGAATTCGCATTTAGAATCAAACTCTGTTCCTGCCAGAGACACTCAGAGGGCTCAACAAACCTTGTGTGCACCAGGATCCAGGGACCCCACAGAGACTGAGACAGAACTGTGTTTGAGCATCTCCTGTGGAGGTACAGGTCAGCAGTGGTCTGCCATAGGGACAGGGGCTCTGGCTGTGGGTATGGCATTAGTCCTCTTGGAGGAGGTCACCATTAACCCCGCAATAGAGCTGCCAGAACTTACAGAGGACTGGGAAATAGACTCTTGGAGGGTGCAACA